TGAGGCTCAAGCAACAACTTGTTCTTATTAATGCTGTTTTTAGGAAGGGTCCAATTATATTTAAGCACTTTTTTAAATATAAAGCAAAGTATATTAATTAATTTCTCAAAAAGAAAAAAAATAAACTTTTTTTTATAAATATAACTTTATGAATACTTACAAAGCATTGAAAGGATAACTCTTTGCTCCATCAAAGAAAAGTTTTGACCAATACTTTGAAATTATAAATGAAGTAATTAATGGATAATAGATTTATAACGTTTTCTTTATAATAGTAACTTACCAATTTCTTACACCAGTCGAAAATGGAATCCAAGAAAATGGGTGAATCTTTTCATTATTTAAAAATCTTTCAGGATTGTATTGTTCAGGATTTTCCCAATATTTTGGATCATGATTAATTTGCCAAATATTTGTTGTACATATTATGTTCGCTGGTATAAGATAAGGACCAATTTTCATTGGCTTTGTTAGTTTTCGAGGGATTATTTTTGTGGCTGGCGGATGAATTCGTAAGGATTCTTTAATAACTGCATTGATATTTTTCATTTCCTTTTTTAAAATAAAAAAGTATTAGTTAAGTAGATTTGCAAAATGTGAAAAAATTGTAGTTACCTTTAATTGTTCCGTTGTAGGAATAATTGGTTCATTTCCAAGTACACTGATTACTTCACCTCGTGCTCTTTCTTGCATTTCCTATGTAATTTCAATTATGTAAAAAAAAAGTTTATTAAAAACCAAAGTAAAAATCAACTCAATATTTATTTATTAGAAGATTACCGGATATTTTGCAAGAAAATATAGCGAACTGCTTAGCGCCATTGTAGTTGCTGTTATCATACACATTATCATTATTAAATATATTTATTTAATTAAAAAATAATAAAGGAAAAGTATATTTACTGTCATGGCCTGCAACGAAAAAGCCCACCATCTCATCTCTTAATTGCTTTGAATCAGTATGAATTCCCTTCTGGTTGCTAAGCTCCAGCATACTTGATAGCAGGTCAATTCGGCCATTATTAGAACCCTTCTGATTTTCAACTTCATCTCTCCTTGCCTTAATAACATCCGAAATGAACCCATTAAATTCTTTATTAGCTTCATAGAATTTTCTATTTTGAGCTGTCGGTAATTTAATCAACCATGGAAATATCATTTGATAAGAAGATTCTACGATTGAAATTATATATTTATAAACATTTATGATATGAGGAGTTTCGGCAGAATTCAAGCACTAAACAAAAAAAAAAGATCCACGAATATTTTTTATTGATTATTAAAAAAAAAATTCGGTATATTGTTATGTTAAGAAATTAATACTTGCATGAAATCGATATCCAAACGCCAATTGTCCAAGCACCTCGATTGTAGTACGTTGCATAATTTCGAATACATCAATCGGTCTACTTAAGTTATGTTGCATGAAATTAAAAAGTTCAAACATAGTTTCACCAACGATATCTGGGGATAAGGCGTTATTGAAAGCAGGAGTGGCTAATCTTCTAAAAGTTCGCCATTTCTATAAAATGGATTTGAATTCAATCATTATAAAATATTGAGTATCATATGTTAAGTATATACGTACGTCACCATTCGCAAAGATTAAACCATCACCGAAAAACTCGATCAAAGCTCCTCTGAAATTCAATTTTAGTTTTGGAGGATCATCATCCTCTATAAAGGAAATTAATGTGAAGTGAAGTGGTATAATTAGAAATAACATTGCATTTTTTATGCTCACCGAGTTTTATTAAGAAATCCTTAAGGTACAAAGGATTATTGATATTTACGGATGTTCGACCAAAAATGTTGCTCTAAGAAATAAAATTTTCGAAATCAATGATTCAATAATAAATCAAATTAAGAATGTATATACTGTATGAAATTTAACTACCAAATAAATATCATAACCTTTTGAAGATTTTGCAATCGTATCTTCGATTTCGTCATGATATTTTTGTCGAATAAATGCCCATAATATAGGCCACGTAGAAATAAGTGGAATACCTTCAAGTCCTTTTGGTATTTTATTTCTAACATGTGTGTAATAAGCGAGAGTAGCAAAAATAATGATAAATGTTATTAATGCAAACATTTTAATGTTAAAAATTTTCAAAATGCAGGCTTTTTAAATGTTGTATTTTTATTGTTCGGTTAATTTTTTTTTTTATTAAAAATTCCCGATCCAGACGGTCGGTGGAACCGTTTAATCTTTTAACCGGTTAAGGTTTTTACAGATCCTTCTTAATATACTCACTTTTTAATTAATTATGTTGTGTAAATTTATCATTTTTATATAAAAATTATTTAAAAAAAATCATTTTGTGCGTCAAATTTGATTTAAATAATAATAAATAATAAAATAAAAAGATTAAAATTTAATAAATGTCCGGATTATTGGCAATGTAAAAGTTTTGAAAAAATATGTATATGCAAGCTTTACAGTCCCTCGTAATCCTTATCAACATCGTTAAACTTGTTTTATGTCACGACATTAATTCGATTTCGTAAGAAATAAAATCAACAGAAATTAGTTTATTTTTAGTAAACACTTTTTCTATTTTAACTACGCGATAAATAATAAATATACTGTTTCCTGTTACAACTATTCATGAATTTTGTGATATTTTTTTTAAAAAGAATAATTTATACTCCAAATTATAATTGACTATCAAACCCTACATAAGTCAACGTTACATAATCATATCTATTCATCTCTAATAACTTTTGTTGCTATTTAAGAATTATTCAACATCATAAATTACATGTATCAAGAGAGGCGTCGTACTCAGCTTCGGAATTTTTAAGTGTGTTGGATAAATTACTTAGCCATTTTTGAACAACAAATCATCAAATTCTTCCCCTAGAGCTGATAAAAAATTTTCTGGATCTCTTGAACTTGCTTTTGTCATAGTGATGATTTAAATCTAAAATTTCGTTTGGTTTACGTGTTTACCATAGAAATGATATTCTTGTAAAATATATAGCATCTGTATTAGAAAGGATTTTCAATTTAATATAAATGTAATGATTTTTAGGCGTATTTGTCGGTATCGGGGAGCAGCGCCAAATCGGGTAAGTATTTTAAAATAAAAACCGCCTTCTACGGGTCTTTGATTTTTTTTCTTATATATTAAACATTTTCCATTAAGCTAACATAAAACATAAGCTTATGCGTATTTATTATGCTAATAATTAATACGAACTTAGAAGTCCATTAATTAAAAATACATGTTTCATAACCTATTCTAATCCAACGTAATTAAGGTGCTGCCTCGACGTCGGTTCAAATACATTTAAAATACAAGAATCGATATCGTTACAAAGAATTTAAAGGAAAATACTTAGCTAAGAATTTTTTGTTATTAAATAAGGAATTGGAATTGTCTACTGTTTTTTTTAATTAATTACATCCCTTCAATTAATTTATCAAGAGAAGGAAAATTGTCGGATCACATACATCGTTCTTTTTAAACAACAATAAGGTAATAAGCATTATCGTAACGATATTCAGATCTAATTTAAGAATCAAAGGAAGAATATGCTTACCTTTATTGGAAAGTACCGGTAAATTGTTACATTTTTGCAGTTAGTCCCTTTGTAGATCATTTTGATGTCCTAATAATTATTTTTTTATAAATATGAACATTCCACGCTCGCCCACCTTGTACTTGCGTATATATATACACTTTAAAAACTTCCTTTATTCCTTCGAAATACTTTCTCTTCGTCATTAACTTCATAAATTTTAATTAGTAATTTCATTTATTTTTAATTCCTGAATTTTCATTCATTATTATTTCTAACTTACTTTTTAATGAAGATATTGAAAAGTAAAATCGAAAAAGTTGATTAAGAAATCTATAGTCCCTTCCATTTCTGCGAGTGATAATTCAGAATAAGTACAATTCATCATTAGAACCCTATAGAAATTTACCTCTCCTTTATTATACGTGGTAATCACGTCATTTCGATTGGTGTCTGTTTTAGTATTAAGGCATACTCGGTACTCTTTTGTAATCCTAGCAATTAGGATAGATGAATAATAAAAATTATATCCAAGTTCCAATGATCATTTATTTTTTTTTAACGTTTGCTGCGTTTAATAAAATCACGTGGTGAATGAAAATTTTAAATATTCAAAAAGTATACTACATTTATATAGAATTTAATTAGTAGATATTGCAAAAAAATCAAATTATTCCAAAAAAAAAAAATAATTTTGATATATATATTTTTTTTATTTCATATAATCAATACGCAATAGTTAAAAAAAATCAAAAAATGAAATTTATCGTGCAATTAGGCCAGTTCTTTATTAATATTAGCAAATAGCATAGGCGAGATAAAATCATATACTTTATTCTATCTTAAACTCCCTTTAGCAATTAATATTAAATATAACAAAACACCAAACGTTATTTTTTCAATAGAATCATTTAAACAGAAAAATTTTAAATGGTTGAATTTTTACATAGAGGTTGGAACCGGCCAAAATTCTTTAACCGGTTAAAATTAACTTAGTACTAAAATTTGGCCGGAGCTAGACAATATTTTTTGTAAGTATTAAAATCTTAATTCTGGCCGGAAATTGAATTTCGGTCGGAGTCAAATTCATCTATTTTAACCGGTTTAACCGGTACCAACCTCAAAAGATTTTTTACTGCTGTTACCATGTTGTTAATCACAGAAGTTACAGTCATTTCATGCGTCATTTTTATTTATAAAGCCCCATGTTCTGCATTATTGAGGATGGATTTACGTTTAATTTCTTGAAAGATCGCTTGATAATTTCCCATTTTTTTTCTTGGGTGTTATATATCTTTGGGTCTAAATCAATCATATATATCATCTGGCACAATGAATAGAAAAAATTCTTGCATTAGGATTTTTTCTATATGCTGTCATGTTTTGAATTATTTTGACCAGTTCTCTATGTCTAATGGAATAGTTTTGTAACACAGTCACAGTAATTTGAAAGATCTAGTCTGGTGCAGCAAATAGATCTGCTGCACCAAATTTTTTTGGTCAGCTTGATAATGCTTCTTTTATCACAAATCTTGGAGATAGATAGCTTGTCAGATATATTCTATAGTTGAGTTATTTATTAAATTCAAATTCATTATAAAGGATCTGATCACCTTAGTAATGAAAATTATAGTTTAAAACTTTTCAATTATAGTAATATTTAAGACTTTCATACAAAATTTATGTTATTTTATACAAACTTCTTACTTCAAATTTTATGTTAACAACTTTGACAAATGGTTGATTATTAAGAAAATCAGGTTCTTGAAATTTTTTAACAAATTTAATTTTTTTATTGCATTTTAGTTTTTGATACTTTTAGATTAAAATGCGTTAAACTTTTAATTTAACTCAAAAATTTCTCAGAATCTGATTTTCCTAGAAATCATTTCACATGTGATTCGAATATACACTTCTGTGTAAAAAGTTTAGGATCACCTGAGATGTTGTATAAAATAAGGCTTTTTTAATGATCTAACATTTTATTAAGCTATAAAAAATTATCAATAATTAGATATCCAACATTTTTATATAGTTATATAATATATACAGTCCACAATATAAATATCTGAAATTTTATCAGTAGCATAAAAAAAGTCTATATACCACCAATTTATGTCTGACTAAAACAAATCAAAATAGTAATTTTTTTAGCTATTTATAGATATAAAAATAATGCCACAAAAATTTCATGTGATTATTTATCAATAAAAAACTTAATCTATAG